CCCCCCCCCCCTTTTCCTTGTTGCCAGGAATTTTTTGGTAAAGGTTATAAACACCAGCATCTGGCATTGAATTTACTCTTCATGAGTCAACTTTTTCTTGACAAAGGGTACACCTTAGCTTAACTCTTTTGCAACCCAGCAAAAATAATTCAAGATCAAAGGCATTGCTTGCGGTCTAAAGCCCTTTCCATAAACCATTATTGTTTCTTGCCTGATTTTCATGGGTAACTCTAAGGAGTTCTCTCTGTCTTTTTGTCTTGTTCAGACTCTTGTGTTCATAATCATTTCTGTTGTCAACTCTGCCTCGTGTCCTCATAACAAACGACATCTTTTCCAGCAGAATACGATTGTCTCTTTCTATAGTGGCTAATCTCTCTTCCTCCACCTAAAAAGAATAATTTTAGTCATTGTTATAGGTTAATAAAAAATAACAAAAATACTTGAACTGTGGCCAAGGAGATTAAAACTACTTGATAATGTGCCTCAGAAAATTGATATATATTCAAAAACAAATTTTTTTTTCAGAAATATCCCACCTGCAAAAATATTCGTGTGTATCGACTAAATTTAGCAGTATAACATTCTAAACAAGAGATAACTGAAATGGACTCAAATTGCTGTTCTCTGTTTCATTCCAATGTCATTTCCTTTTCCCAAAATTTGATCGCCGTTCAATTCATGGATGAACTTCAGGCTTTGTTCACTTAAGTTTTTGGTCTCAGGACTCCATCTTTAGAGCCTTGGAGACGCGGGTTGAAAGCACGTCCAATTAGGTTTCCCTTTAAGGACGAAGAGCATTGTTTGTTTGTAAATTAGCATAGCTAAATAATTTCTTACGTGCCTCGACGCGTTGAGAAAAATGTGCTAATGAGATTTCAACATTTTTGGACATTGCTTCGCTTTGTTCCATCAAAATTTCCATTTCAAAAGCAGTAAACAATATTCAATGAAGACAAAGCTGTATTCTAACGCGAGCATATTATTTCGATGACACGGGGAAGTGAGTTCATCATTTCAATTAGTAACTTGACTCTGAACAAACAGGAACAAACTGCAAAAATTTACCCGTCGTGTTTCAGCTGGCGTGAAAACATCGAAATACCTTCGCGATTTTCGACAATTCTGCGCGAAATAAAGCACTAAAGTGGTGTAATGGTACAATAATCTTAAACAGCAGGATGCCATGAAATTTCTACCAGAGAGTGGACGATTAGAGCCAACGATTCCTTTCGCAATTTTAACTACTTTGCAACAAACATCAATTCATTGTCAATACAATACACGCTAATCGCCCGTAAAATTAGCAACTATCCGGCCATCTGCACGTATTTCTTCTACACCCCAATCTGTGCTTAAAATCGTCCAAACACAAACCTCTTTTGAATATACTATCTAATCAGACAGAGAGTTCTCTACGTCTGTTTACACAACTTTAGATGTACTATACGTTGGTATGATACGAAAAAAGATTCTGCGCTATTGCGCCATTCAATTCAAACATTCACAATACCTGTAACTTCTTTAACTTTAGATGCAAATGCATATAAGTCTGGGGAGGTTTGTTGTCGATAACTGCTTTGGCAGACTGAACCTAGAGATAATACAAAACATCAGGAAAGGCATTAAAGCAAATAAACTCAAACCGCGGTTTGTGCCGCGAAATAATTTAGGACGCGCACAAAACTGAAACAAACCTTTCTTCTGTGCGTGTTATAGCTACTCATGTCCCATCTTTTCTTTAGAAGCTTGTTATTGGCAGGCGTAATTGGCTGGTAGGATCTATGCATCTTGATTTTCAGTGATGAGGAAAATCAAATATGAGCTGAAGAGAGAGACAGCAATAACTTCAGATGAAGAGACTGAGACAATTTGACCGTAGCTCTTGGCGTACCGTTGCTTAGCGACTGATTTTGCAATGTCAATCTTTGAAACAGCGGTCACGTAAGCATGCGCAATCAGCTGTCCGCCATATTAAATTCGCCATCATCGGTAAACGTGGTACGAGAAGGTGACTTTGAAAATATTCATTTTTACGGGATCTTTTCTCCCCATATAAATCATAATTACGAAGAGGACTTGTTTTTCATTTCCGCGATCTGGGAGGGCCACGATTTTGAAATGCCCCGCTGTTGTTATGAAATATTGGGGGTCGAAAGAGACGCAAGTGATGCTGAGATAAAGAAATCTTACAGAAGACTTGCTCTCAAATGGCACCCAGATAAAAATACTGACAACTCCGAGGAAAGTACTCGAGTATTCACAGAGATCCAACAAGCTTATGAAGTGCTTATAGACCCACAAGAGCGAGCATGGTATGATAAACATCGCGAACAAATCATTAGAGGAGGAGATGACTATGTAGACAATAGTATCAATTTGATGAAGTACTTTAGTGCCAGTGTGTATTGCGGTTTCGGAGACGACGCACAAGGATTTTATGCGGTTTATGCCAATGTTTTCGAAATAATTACTAAAGAAGATGCTGAATTTGCAGATGGTCAAGATCTGGAGGTACCTGAGTTTGGAACATCCACGAGTGATTATGAAGAAGTTGTTCAACCTTTTTACGCTCACTGGCAGAGCTACTCGACTCTGAAATCTTATGTATGGTTAGAGAAATACGACCTCAGAGAAGCACCCAATCGAAGGGTTCAAAGATTGATGGAAAAAGACAACAAGAAAATCCGAGATGCCGTAAAAAAAGAGAGAAATGAAGAAGTTCGCGCATTGGTAAAATTCGTTCGTAAAAGGGACAAGCGTGTCAAAGCATATCTTGAGTTACTTAAGGAAAAAGACGAGGAAAGGCAACGAATTACAAAACAAAAACGTCTGGAAGCCTTGCGAGAAAGGGAGAAGATGTTTGAAGCGTACAAAGAAGAAAGCTGGGCCTCTTTGTCCGGACTGGAGGAGGACTTGGTCCAAATGAATGTTCATCTGGACAGTGAATTCGGCAGAGATAATGACATCAATGAGAGCCAATCAGATGAAGAGGAAGTGCAACAATATTATTGTGTGGCTTGTGATAAAGCATTTAAAACAGAGAAGGCGCTAGTTAACCACGAGAAGTCGCGGAAACACAAAGACAAAGTCGCTGCAATCAAACGAGAAATGGCCGACAGTGAAGATATAGATGAACTTGCGTTACACAATGGAGAAAACGGCGTAAATGAAGATTACGATGCCAGAACAGAGTCAGAGTATTTGAGTAAGAGACAACACAGTGTCGACGAAACTTGCGCAGATTTTGTGAGTGTTGGAGAATTAAATCTGATGGACTCCGTAGATCTGTCTACTATGAGAATTAAAGGTAACAACCGGTACAAAGTAAAGGCGTTGCACGAGAGGAAACGAGCTCTATCAGGAATCGGAGAGGGAGATTTGGAAAGGGGAGATGAAGAGAAGGAAGCCGCCAACGAAGAGAGCAATAGAATGGAAGCAAAATCAGATGAACGAGAGGTGGAGGAAACTACAGGCAATGAAAAGAGCGAGGAAAACGTACATGAAGACGATAGTACGCAAAATTTGTCAAACGAAAACAGGATAACAACAAGTGATATTGATAATAAAGAAACGGAAGACTGTAAAGAGAACTTGGAATCACAAGAGTCTGAGGGCGATAGACAGACGACTGGTGCCGTTACAGAGAAAAGAAAGCCTAAAGAAGGTAATAAAAAATCGCCACAAGCGAGTAAAGAGCCAGCAGCAAATTCTTTCAAGTGCAACGTCTGCCAAGATTCATTTCCGACAAGAAATAAAATGTTCCAACACATTAAGGAGCTTGGACATGCACTGAACGTGGACAAAAATCGTGAAGCGGGTGAGTCGCAACGCCAAGCCAAGAAGAAAGGCAAGAAGAAACGTTAAGCTTTATAATTTCGAAGTATGCCACTTAAAAGCAGTTATTATTTACATATTTTGGTGACACGGGTTCTTGACGATTTTACTTTCCGAGGTTGAATGCTTTCCGAGGTTGAATGCGTTCCGACCCGTAAAGTATGCAGAACTCGAGCCGAATCAAGCGAGGTTATTTTTGTCTTTGTTAAGTCGTAAAACTATGCAGGTGTATTTGGTTTAATTGACATGTATCGCCCTCAAGGTGCTTTTCTCCACAATATTCTGTCTCCAGAGCTAACTTGTTCAAATAAGGCAATGTTTATTTACAGATTTGAGTTGCTAATGGCGCTAATCATGTTACGCAGGACACATCTACTATGATGCCTTATAACGCAAACCAATATCAATATACAAACAAATATCGGACTGATCTCCTACCTTGGAAGGTATCAAATTACCTCTTGGACTAACTGCAATATGTTGCAGAAATATTTTAATCACCCAATTGTAAGAAAATATGCATATTATACGAATAAATTATTCAGAGTATTAAATAGTATTGCCAGATCTTTGCATGTTATAACCAAACAAGCGCTCCTTTCATATTTAAGACGTTTCGTTCTTGTCTTTTCATTTCGTGACCTCATTCACTTCCATTCGTGACATTGCTCAGCAAAATACCCCCATGATATCCGGTTTCCCGCGGATTTGTTGTGCTAATGACGCGCATTCCAAGTTTCCGGCGCTCGCGTAAATACGTCAACTTATTAGTTGGGGCATAGAGAGAGTCGGCAAATAAATGAAAACTAGACTTGGACTTCGTTCTAAGCTTGCATGAATCTGAAGCTGTAAGGAACAGGTGGTGGAGTGGTCATATCTATCATGGAGTTCTTGTAAGTCACTTACCCACACCACATATCTTCAGTTCTGGGACTCTCAACCTTTCGTGACCCGTACCACCGCCTCCTACGTCATTTTATTGTGTTTTCAAACGTGTAACGCAACTTGATGATGGATACATAGATACTGAAGTTGTAAACGGATCTCGGTTACACTTCTCAGTCAGCCTTACGGGCGATTCAGTCTTACCTGACTCATAACTAACGAGAACTGCTTGCTCCCCAGTTAGAAAACGTGGTAGACTCTTCTTGTCAAGCAAAGTAAATTCTTTTGATTTTTAAATTAAAATGTCAGCCCTTTGTTTGCCCATTTTCCTTAAATTAATCAAATTAGATTACTTAAAATCAATTGAAGTCAAGATAGCTGGCTTCCGAAAACAGCGCTCTGTGGTTTAAAAATGTCACATTGTAATAAAGAGGAGTGACCAAATGGTTCTCTATTAAGACATTTGTTTTTACACCAAGGGCACGTGTTTATTCTGGTCAATTACCGAAAGCGATGATTAATAACACGAACAATTGGAGAAAACAGGTGACTGACAGCTTAAGGAGCCTAAAATAAACGATGGTTACAGAAAACTCCACAAGACGTGTTTCTTACTGTCATTCGCAAAAGTGGTCGTACGTGTCCTTAATTCGAGCAATAATCAGATTAACTCTTCCCTCCTAAAATTACAGCGTACTTCGAAACAAGGTCAATTACCGCTAATCTTTACTGGATATTTGAGAAGAAAAATTCAAGCACCGAGTGCGTATCAGGACATTGTCAAGGTAACCATGTGAAATACGACTTCCACTCCAGCTGTAACACGTCAGAGGTCACTTTCTCCGCTAATAATTATTCACAGGACTACCCTCCCATGAGATCATTGAATACTATTTGTATAGGGAAATAAACAAACAGGCAAGCAATACCATAAGTGTACATAGTGCAATGAAATACTTGAAAGTTGCTAACAGTCTTTACGGAATACTTACGACTTGACACGAAACAGTCCACAAACTTTGGGTAAGCACGCTTGCTATTTATTTGGTCTATCGCTCTCCATTGTGGAATATGATGGGATGGAGGGCGAGTGAGTGGGTGGGTGGAGTAGGAGAGGTTGCCTGCAATGGAGTGGGATCTCATCTAGGAGGCCGAGCAATACTTCTAACTTCTCCAAGTATTGGAGACTTTGGTTAATAAAAGGCCGCCAGTAATCCGCTATGAGGAAACAATGTCGCATTTTCTAAGAATGCTTCAAAAAGGAGGACAAACATTGACCTGTAGAGGAATTCCCTAATGAAACGAACAATCAATTTCAACTTTTTATTAATAGCTTTAATAATACCACAACAAATTTACAACGTTTTAGTTGCATACGAGCCTATGAATAACAATTGTGTTTGATTAATTCAACCACTCACTAAGAAACCTACTGCAGAGATACAGAGCATTAGAGGATTTCAGATAAATGAAACTTGAAAGTGCGTGGCATCCATTCATTCAATCAACAAACTCCTTTGGCTCAGTACAGTTTTTTAAATTTTTGACAGTGGTTAAGAGGGTACTGAGAAAAACAAAATACTGAAACCCCTACCCTGCCAGGGACAAGAAAAGGAAGCTGTTACTAATATCACCAGCCTCCCCTCCCTTCAGCAGGTAACTTGTACAATCATGACAGACCCATTTCCTCCAATGTACGTTGAAGTTCCCCTTCCTGTTGATCAAACAAAACCACATGAACTACAGCAGGTTAATGTTTCAGGAATCACTGCTAGAAGTGCATCAATACAAACTTTTAGAATCCTATTTGGTAGGTTGTAATCACTATCAGTCTGTCAGTTTTTGTTTTGAGTTATCAAACCTTACATAAGGAGAAAAGCATTTCTTTACTGGCTTCATTTTACAATTCCTTACAAATCAAGTGACCATTAAAATACACCTTGCAATCCATGTGACTTAACCCTTAAACTCCCACTAGTGATTAGCATGTAACTTCTCCCTATAATCTCCATACAATATCCGGCAAACAAGTAATGAGAAAACTCAAACTCATCAGGTAGAAGTTGTTATTTTGATCTAACATGAAATTCTTGTGACTAATTTACAAGGAAATGTGTAGCAATAAGATCTTGGGAGTTAAAGAGTCAAGAGGCTTATATTGAGTTTTATAAATATGTAATTTATTATCAAACACAACACAAATTTTAGTAACCTGCTATTAATTGATATTTCGTGTCAATTAAATAATATCTCTAACTCTGCATTTTATATTAGTTTCAACTCTATAAATTTAAGATGATTTTAGTCTAAGAGAAAAGCACTCTAGAGCAAAGGAAAAAAAAAAACTTTGAGGTACATTTAGAATGCAGTTATGGCAGTTCCTAGAATGGTGTATTCATTACAAAGGCAAAGAGGAAACATAAGACATTAAAAAAAATACTTCAAACTATATTTGATTGAAAACTTCTAGATTATAACTAATTAATATTCAAAGAAGAAATATGCTGTACATTTAGACCAAAGAAACTGATATAGAACCTTTTAAACAAAATGTTAGTTTTACAATGTAATTTTAGAGTACAATTTGGCTAATATACGGTTATAAATAATATTGGACTGTAAACTATGGTTTAAACATGATACATAGCATCTTCTGTTGTGACTGGCACACCATCATGGTAATAAAAGAATTCGTGGAAGTGAAGATAGTTAGACCAGATGCTGAATAAGCAGCAGAGAAGACAGTTCAGACCAAACCCATTTCTTCCAGCGTGCGCTGGAGTTCACCTTCCTGTAGAACAAAAGTATCAGAGGTAGAGATTTTACAGATGAAAGAACTCAGGCAAGACCCATTTCCTCCAAAGCACTGCGCAGTTCTGCTTCCTGTGGAAAAAGTATGAAAGCAAGGCAAAGTGGAAGCTCAGAGGAAAGGATTAGCAAAGATATCAAAGGTATAAAGATGTCTGTAGGAAAGTGACACTATCTGCTGGCACTATGTGAAATCAAAGTATTTCGGCATGCAAAGACTAAAACACCTCGTTGCTATAGTTCACCTGAATTTCTGCAACATAAAAAAATAAGGGTATTACCCCATCCCCTGGATGGAATGCTAGTCCATGATAAGTTTCCCTCAGAATTTTATCAGGTTTCCCTGATAATTCACTGATACCTTTTTCAAACTCATGACTCCTGGGTGGAGAAAGGCACTAAGAGAATATAGATTGTCTTGTTCAGGAATACAAAACAATGAGCCTGCTCAGAACACAAACATAGACATCTTCATCCACAGGCCTTCACATCACCTGATGGGCCTTTGCCCATTCCAAATGTTGTGTTGATAAAGAAGAGGATTTCTTTGATGGTCGAAAATTTTACCAAATATTTTAAATGGCCTCCTCAGGTAAGTGATGATAAGAAGAAACTCATTACTAAACACTACCCATTTCATGATTCAGTTATATCTACATTCTCCCTTACAAGATTGGGTATAGGACATGAAGTGTGGTTTTGAGAATCTATATGTTGACATTGTTGAAGACAAAAAAAAAAAGACCTGTGTCTAGGTGAAAACACAGAAGGTCTGAAATGTGACAATGAAAAAAAACTTGTTAAAGTAACTTAACAAAAAGAGATTTTGCAATCAAATGTTTATTTAATGATGTAAGCCACACATTTTATTATTTACTTTTACCTTATTTCTTTAACCATTATTTCATTGTGTTGCTTTAAAATGTTAAAATGTTTGAACAAATTTAAGGGCAATTTAAGAAGTCAAATCAAATTATATTGTATCTATTTGTTAGTATTAACAATTTTCTCACAACAAAGTTGAGTAAAAATTCTATATTTGCAGCACACATATCACTACAAAAAATGCTTACGTATGAAAGCTTTTACTTCAGTTGGAAATCAACTTGAGCAGTTTTAGGTTATTCATTTTTTCAACACTAATCTGGTTAATAGTACCACCACATTTGAAACAGTTGAACTATCTCACAATATACAACAAAGTGACATAATGCAGACATGAATAGATTTAATAGGATGTCACTGGTGACTAAAATAGTAGAATTTAAAGAAGACAAGCCTTAAAAAAAGGATTATGTAAGCTCCTGAGGTTTACCTGTTGCTAAACACATGGTACAGTTATAAAAACTGAACAAAAAAGACAATCAACATACAGCATAAAATATCACCTGATCAGAATGGAGATGACTTAGAGGATAACAACACTACTAAAAAATTTCTTACTGTTTGCAAACAGTGTATACTTTTGCTGACATGGCAATTTCAAGTCAAGTGTCAAAAGTGATTTGCAATGTTTCATTGCCTGTGCTTCCCTGTACTCTCTGATTGGCCTATAAAGTTGAGTCACAGCAACCAATCACATTATACAAAAATCAAAAAACCAATTATTAAAAAACCCATATTTTTCCAGACTAAGACCTTTTCTGTTTAAATATTTTTAATTCTTGTCAGCTCCTTTTGATATTTGTATTTGTTTTGAATGGTCATTACATAACTCTGGCTTTGGTTTTAAAATAATCAAAAGAACACTGAAAACAAGGAAGCTTTCCTTTTAAATCAATGCAGCAAGTTTCTGAAACCAGCATTGTAACTTTTTATCAAAAAAGAAGGTTTCAACCTACCTCCTGAAGAAGATCTTGGGCTGATATTGCTTTCAGGACATTTTTCTTGCTTGTTTCTTGGATCTCTCCTCCAAGAATCAGTTCATCCAACATAAAATAAGCCTTCTCAAAATTAAAAATGATATCCAGCTCACAAACCTTTCGGTAAACAAAATCAACACATGAATGACATAAACTTATGCTCAATATCAACAAACCAAAAAAACAAATAATCACATAAGGTTTTCTTGATTTAGTCACAGTGAAATTTGTGATTACTGTACTTACACTTCCAAAATATTTGTCCAGAAGCTCAACATATCTGTGGATTATCTCCAGTGTGAGAAGTTCATTATCATCTTTCTCTATTGCTACACAGAAATATAAGCTGGCGTATCTGTGCAATACAAGGAAACAGAATCTTAGAATTAAACATATTCATTTGGGATCAATATCTTCATTCGCTTAGTTAACAAGTATTTATACGATAAATCATTTCACTTCAAACGATAACACAAAATTTTTCAATTCATCATCCAATTTTCTGACGAAGGTGTAGCAAGAAACTCCTACGTTTAGAAAGTATTTGAAAGAGTATAGGTGTTTCGCAGTACAGTTGTTATCATATATACACATGCATGATACGCGAAGAGTGTAAAGTTGTTCTTCATATACAAATTCAACAAAGGAATCCTAAAGCTCCGCTAAGCGATCAAAAGTTTTCGTTCAACTTCATGATAGAAGAGCATGTTTGACTTGTCTAGCCGTCTTTCTGAGCCTCGCATTAAAACTTTTCATCCAACATCGTGATCACATTCTGATCAAACCCTTGGAAAATTTTCGATTGTTTAGCCACCCCACGACGTACATCAAACACGATGTCCATCGAAAATGTTTGATCGTTTAGCCGGGGCATTAAAAAGAACACCAATCAATCACCTGTCTTTGTCTGACCATAACCAGACGTGCCTAATTTTCAAGTCACTAGACATGGAATGGACACATTTCAAACATTTAGTTTCTCGTATAAGAATATCCTAACTGCCCTAAACTACCTTTTGTATACAACTTTTAGATCCTTATACTCAAGGAAACTGCACATCTTCGGTTTCCGAGCAAGAACAGTCGTGATCAAATCCCGTGTGATCTTTTTCTTCTCCTTCTGACTAGAGGCCGTGTACCATTTCTGCAGTCGAAGTTTACCTTGACGGCTGAAAAGCAGCATAAACTGAAACTAAAATATTGCAGAGAGGTTAACCTCCTTTTTAAGTACTTTGTCAAAAACGCTTAAAGGAAAGAAGTGATAACTTCGATCGAGTGGTAATGTAGGAAATACTCACCATCTTGAACAGATGCTTGTACTGCAGGCTCTGCTTAGTCAGCTGGTATTCTCAGTTGACCATGCTTGCAAATTATTATTATTATTATTATTTTTTTGGTCACATTTGCAGTCACGCTGTCACTCACGCAACGTCTATTGCACATTATACTGCTCTGTAGCGTTACTTAGAATACCTTGAACGATCAGCACTGCTTTAACAGAACTTGATTTGTTCATTAAGAATATTATTTGTGATTAAACCATGTTCAAGCTCATTAAAATCTGTCTCGCCTCAAATCTAATAGGTATCACGACGGTGAGCTAAAATACAATTTGAACAGTTTTTTTTTTTGACACTACCGTGCACTAGAGAGTCTTCGAGGACTTAATTTTAGCCACCATCATTATCTGATAAGTATTCTAAAATTGTCAATGAGGTTCGAGGCCGTTTTGGACTTTTGACGTCATTTTTTAATCAGATCACTTCCGGTACAAATCTAGTCTGTTGCATGTTGGGAAAACTTTCGTGTCTCTCAAGCGAGCTGAAATGGCGGCGACTATTAAAGATCCAGATGAAGACTCCTCTAGGCCCAAAGGGAAGCATATCAAAGCGGTATTGGTGAATAAGCTGGAAGGATGCAGTGGTGTAGTAAATATGGCCGTTACTATTCCACACGAAGATGCAGTAATCAGTGTTTCTGACGATAAGTGAGTGGAAGCTGCTTATCGATCAATCTTTGAAGAGTTGTGCTATTTTCGATTGTTTTGATCGTAAATCGTATCCCATGTAAGTTCAGTTTAGGTCGAAGGTTAATTTCATGTGCTTTGTTTCTCTTCCAGGAGTATAAGGCTTTGGATCAAACGAGAGAGTGGGCAATATTGGCCAAGCGTTTGCCATGTAATGGAGTGTAAGTATGGATAAATTGTATCTCACATCTCCTTGCTTGACTTTCCTCCATGTATCTCCAGAGAGCGTTCTTTTCATTTCCTTTGTATATTTCAGAGATAAGTTCATAGCCTTTTCGCTCGAAGACATCTACTCCCTTGTTAATGTTTGCTGAAAATCTTTTAAACTTACTGAATTGACTAGCTAAGTACGAGTATGTTGCTCGTTATGAAAGTTCTTGTTGATAGAGATTTACATGCATTTTATATTTTGGTGAAAAGTATTCAGTTAATTTCTTTTTTAGCCGAATGTTCCGCCTTAGATTATCATGGAACAAGTAGGAGATTGTTCGTAGGACTGGACGATGGAGCAATTTCTGTAAGTGCATATGAATCATGTTTGGCTCAGGCCGATAATGATCAACAGTACATCCACTATTGTGAAAATCCTTAGTATATCTAGGGCTGCTACCTGGATGGAAGAGTGTTGGAAAACTTCCCCTTTGAACTTTCGTCAAAATCGTAGTCATAAATTGAGATTCAGAGAGTTGATTCTAAACTCGAAGTGGCTAAAATTAAATTCTGGCACAAAATGTTTCGTTGACCAAACATAATATCCATCAAGTACAGCATTTTGGCAAGAAAGACTTTCTTTAGAGTGCATAGTTGTGTATATGCCAATTATTCCAGACGAAAAAAATTGAAGATTTGTGTGTTACCTCTGAATAGGAGTTTGAAGTGTCTGAGGATTTTAACAGACTTCATGCTAGTAGGAAGTATTTAGGTAAGTGCACAATGTCACAAAAAGATCGATGGATGGTTGCTTTGGATATTTGCATGTACTGAAATTATGACTTTTCAACTTTTGTTGAAAAGAAAAAGATGAAAGGATACATTTATAATCAATTTCTTTAAGTTTCCATACAAACCATGCAAAAGTTGGTTCCAAAGTCTGTTTTTCACATTCTAGTGGGCTGTGGGAGTTAAACAGTCATCCTCGAATGTGACATTGTTTCTTAATTATTGGCACCTTCTTGGCATTAATTTGTTCAAACAAAACTCAGGGCTCTAACCAGATCTGCTCAGAGTGATCCTTTTCTAGATGATGCTGCCCTTTGATATCACTTACTTGCACAGTATAGCTTGATCAACTGCAGCAATCATACAACAGCTAAAAAATTAATGTAAGTCAGGGGGAAGGAGAGGAGCTAGCAATGTGCTGAGTGGCTTCATGTTCTAAATCCTATGGGCTTGGGTGGTATGTAGCTACATAAATGAGCTTTAGTAAAAGACCTACATTTTATATTTATTTTTGTTTAGCGCACATGAACAGATTGACAGGAATTGTGTTTTCACTGGAGAATGAATGGCTGCTCAGTGTAGGAAGAGATAAATATTTACAGTGGCATGACTGCACAACGGGCAAAAGATTAGGAGGATTTCAAACTGAAGCTTGGTGCACATCATTACAGTATCCTTAGCAATCAAAATGTTAATGGCTGAACCCATTCACTCCCAAGATCTCATTAGTAATTCTCCTTACTGTCTGCCATATAATTCTTACAATGTTGGTCCTGATAATTTAGTATTGGATCAACTGATAATCCACCAATTCATATCTTTCTTTTTTCTCATCACTCACTTGTTTCAAATTGTATTCATATTGTAAGGAGAAATTGTCTTGGTCACTTGTTGGAGTTGAAGGTTAACCCTTAAGCCTGACTTAAACATTGAGCTCACGGAAACAAAGGAAATGATTGTCAAAAAAAGGAGCTTTTGAATGTACACAAGTTCTCCCTGTATACTTATCAGACATTGGAGATCAGAGAATTCTGTGGCTGCTAGGCAGTATAATCTGGTTATATCTTAATTCCCTGAGCTATTTATAAACCCTTTTAGCCTCAGGAATGACCAAAAATGCATTTCTCATCACAATATGAACACATTTCAAGCAGAAAGGTTAGGAGAAGTAAGAAAAATTTAACCTAGGGAATATTCCTTGATTGAACACCAAATTCTTTCATTTAAAATTGAGAAATGTCAAGCAATCAGTTTGGATAATTTATATTTTAATCCTTGGAGAGGTAGGGTTATCAGACACAGAGAACATTCTCCTGTTACTATACTCTAGTCTCTTGCTGTTGAACCCTGAGAGGATTACAGTAACTTACAACTATAGATTACAAATTACCTTCTAGAAAAAGGTTATGTTAGACCTCCAAGATACTCAAACCCTGATGTAGCTGTCTTAAAATGAGCATCTGCAACACTGCAGTCTTCCTTAACACGTTTCAGATTTGATGCTGAATCCAAGCATGTCTTTGTGGGAGACTATGGTGGCCACATTAGCGTTATAAAACTGGAGTCAAGTTCACTATCACTAGTGACGACACTCAATGGCCACTCAGGCAAGTTACGTCCATGGCACTCATGGTTTGGCACAGGTGATTTAGCTTGTGTCCTGTGCTGTTTTGAAGACTCTTAGAAACTTTTTACACTGAATTTAAAATTAACCACTGAAATCTTTCTGGGTCATGTGTAAAGTAAAAAGCGTACAAGACAATTTCAAGAACTGAACCCATTACACCTTAACATTATGCATATTCTCCATACTGTTCTCTATACATTTCCTAGGTTCCAACAGGGAGAATTTGTAAAACCATCAAGAGCTTTGTTAGTTGCTGATCATTTCCTTTATTCTCACGACTTAAACCTTTTATTCAGGGGTGATATTGTAAGGAGAAATTAGAAAGTTGTCACTCTTAGGAATTAAAGGGTTAAGGAGGCTCCATAAGCTTTTTTGTCTGTGCAAGATCTGAGTGCGAACATAGCATGAAGCTTTTTAAGTGTCAACATGCAAAACAAACATAGCACCTTGATACAATTGCATGATCATTACCTGAAAAGGTGTGTTAAAAACAGTTCAACACAATACAGTTCTTTTTGTGATGGAATCCAGGGTTTCCAGCAACTGCACCTGTAATATTCATAGGCTTTCTTCTGAAAAAGAGGTCAACTGAAAAGAAAACACAGTGGGAAAGATTGCCAGAAGGCGACAGATTCAAAAGTCTATGCATGAACAGATACTGATCTTGGTGAAGTTCTATTCTATTATGTAATGTTTGGCAACAAAGAAAATAGGGATCTTTTGAGTAAGATTTATCGCATTTCCTTTGGTGGAACTTTCTACAATTTTCAGGACCATTAAACATATTACCTGTTGATAAAAAAGAAATTAATAAGACCAAATTTGAGATGGAGGAAGAAAACACAAAATTGCAAAAAATGGGGAAACTGCCTTTGTAACACCTTTTTTTTTGGCTTTTGAATGATCGGCTGGACAACTTTCACAAATTGTAAAAATTTTGAGAGATTTCACTGGAGCAAATTGAAGAAAATCAAAGGCAGAGCCAAATTATGGCTGGTGCACCTCTCCACTTAAAGCCTTAGCATAACAATGAAAATCATTTTGATGATATTTACTGCAGCAAGCAATAGTAAGAACCTTGCTCATTGCCTTTTGATGGCTTTTAGTGACCTCAAAAAGCAAAAACATGAAAGTTTTCTAGAAAAATATTACGCTGATGCATGTGCTAACATAAAGCAAAAACCCTATGGAGGCTCCTGAACAATTTGCTTTTTCTGAAAAAAAATAAGGCAAAGTCTCAACAGGAACTTTGGTGGCCCATGCCTCAAGGGCCTCCTAAGGTTTCTTTAAAATGAAGTTAGGTAGGCTACATCTCCTGGATGAGATTCTGCTCATTCTGGGTATATCCCAGCATTAACCAGGTGTCTATAGCAAGAGAAAAAGACTCAGGGCTAATTTTCTTGCTCAAAACTGTCACAGTCAATGCTAGAACTAGGCTCCTCTCATCTGGAGTCTTCCACACTTGGGAGCAAGACAGTGTGTTTCCCCTTCATGTTTAATATAATTCATAGAGTAAACAATGAATGGAACTTTATTGCCATTTAAAAATTTTCCTTTAGTAGTTGCCATTATTCTATATCATTATCCATTTTGTTTTTAGGAAGTGTAAGATCACTAGCCTGGGATGCTGAGTCAAAACTGTTGTTCTCCGGTAGTTTTGATGAATCTATTATTGTTTGGGACATTGGAGGACAAAAAGGAACTGCTTTGGAACTTCATGGACATATGTAAGGTTTACTTTTTTACAAATTTTTTTAGATTGAACTCCTCTGGCCCATAGGTTAATTCTAATTTCTTCATATCTTCATTGAAAAATTTTGTCATTTTTACTACCAAGTCTTTGGAATTCCAAGAGAGAGATAATACATGCTGATACATTTACCAATTACGGAAAGCGCTGTTTTGTTTGGGCTCGATGTGTCTTTTGTAAAGGTGCCATTATGACCTTGTTCAAATGATAGGAGATTGTACAATCAAAGTTAACTTTTCAAATCATTTGGTAAACATGTACCTCCTTCAAACAATTTTAAGTCTTGTAACAAACATGTGATGAGAAGAGGGAGAAGCATCAGATGCTCACTGTCATCTTGTTGTAACACCAAATTCTCTGAATGAACATACAAGAAAGAGTATGGCAGCTTAGAGGGAGAATATCCAATCAGATCTGTGAAAGAGTTAAAGAAATTATGCATTGATAACCTTTACTGTCTTTTACTATATTGTTGATTTGTTTGTTTTTTTGGTTGTTTTTGTTTTTGTTTTTTTCAAGAACCAAAGTTCAATCCCTTTGTTATGCTCCACATGCAAAGAAGTTGATATCCTGTAGTGAAGATGGCATTGTTAGGATTTGGGATATGAATGTAAAACGAAAAGAGGTATGAATGAATCAGTCTTTATGTTTAACTTAGTGTATGTGTCTGTCATGTGCATTTGCTTAGCACCCATAGTTGGCAACAAACAGTTCATTTGATCAATAAATTACAAGTAGTTTGCTAGTCAGTTGTATTCACTCACCAATCAGCCCATCAGCTAGTTAATCTGTTTTAAGTCAGTCAGTTGGTTGATTTATAGTTAGTAGGAGACCAAAGATGGACTAAGCCCTTACGGGAGTCATTGCTTGCTGCAAGAAACTTAAATCCCACAGATCACTTTCTGCCACAGACACTCCTTTCCATGTACTTTTCTCTCTTTTATATACTCTTTGACTTCATTAGAGTAACTAGCATTTAATTTCTCAGCTACAATATCACCCCTGAATCACACATTTAGGTCACCAGAATAGAGGAAAAAGGCACCATTTAAAGAGGCTCTTGATCGTTGAACTAATTCTCCTTATCAGTACTTTAGGAAATGTATAGAGAACAGTGTGGAGAATATACAGACTGATGTGAGGGTGTAAAAGCTTAATATAAAATCGATGGTGCAAATTTTCTGAGCTTTGAAATGCAAGCTCCATCACCCCTAAATTTTATCCAGGTTTAGTCCATGTATTGGGGTTGGTCAGTAGGTTGATTTTGTTTTTATTGAACGTAATGAATATTGCCCATTTAGGTTTACAAGTGCTTTTATTTGAGTTAGAATCATTTAATATTCATGTATCAAATCAATTTGTTACAAAGGAAGGATGCCAATGAGGATTTCTCGTTCCATTTTGACATTTGTTATTTAACTCTTTGTAGACTCCAGAATGGTCACAAAGCGATGTCTGTGAGAGATGCGGAGGACCTTTCTTTTGGAACTTTAAAGGAATGTGGAGCCAAAAAGCAGTCGGTGTCAGGCAGGTATGATAATAATTCCCTACAGTAAATGCTTTGAACCCACAATCTGGAACAAAATTAGTTGATACATGACATTCATCTTTCCATTTCTGAGGAGGTACCAGAAAATTTAAATTTGAAACTAACTGCACCTCATTACAACACCTCTAATCTTTAATCACTCAATTTTGTACAACCACAGAAAACGATTAGATAAAAAAGTACAGGCTGAGAGCGGGTGAAAGTAAAGCTACCGGGGGTACAACTGGAGTGCTATTCTTGAATGTTGCGATCTCAATGGAAATGTGGAAACTTTTGTTGTTCTTGGTTGAAGGCGTAATAGCTAATCGTGAAATATGATTGTATCGTTGAGAATAGTCCCTAGAGGGACTATAGTCTGCAGCAGTAGCTAATGTTAAGACATGGTACCCGGTCACTATACCAACGTGTTGATTCGTTGGTATCTGCCAACTCGCAGTCACTTTTAATCAACTTGCCCAAAGTCGTCTTTGGTCTTTGGTAACAAATCCAGTAACAAAAATTAGTGTCGGCGAGTTGACAAGTGGTGTCGTCGAGTTGACCAAAGATGAAGGTGAAGTGAGCGGTAGCCCTCGACATTTCTACTGGGTCGCTCTAATAATCTGGTCGTTAAAACCTTTGTAACTGTTATCTAAAACAGTTCTTTTTAGCTCTGCTATCACCCGTGCATTAAGGCTTCTTAGAAAAAATTATTGCTATGATGAATCCGTTAAAAAAATTTTAAAAAATTAAAATAAGGCAGGATTTTTTTAAAATTTTCAAGTTTGATATTCATATAGTACGGTGGCCCACAACTGTCACGGCAAAAGAAATAACCTCGTGGCAAAAGAAAAAGACTCACGACAAGAGGAAGAACCTCACGGCAAAAGAACCGTGAGGTTTTTTCTTTTGCCGTCAGTCTTTTTCTTTTTGCCGTGAGGTTTTTTCTTTTGCCGCGAGTCTTTTCTCTTTTGCCGTGAGTCTTTTTCTTTTGCCGCGAGTTATTTCTTTTGCCGTGAGTCTTTTCTCTTTTGCCGTGAGTCTTTTTCTTTTGCCGCGAGTTATTTCTTTTGCCGTGACAGTTGTGGGCCAACGTAATATAGGGAATTTAACTTTAAACTGATCGGAAAGATGTACGAGAAAAAGAAATATTGTTTAGTTTTTTTTTTCAGCATCATTGTCGAAAATGTGGTAGAGCGGTGTGTAACGAGTGCAGCAACAACGAATCGTCTTATCCAATCATGGGCTTTGAAAATTCAGTCCGTTTTTGCACTGAGTGTTATGCAGATATCACAGATGAGGAGTAAGTCTGATAAGTTGTTGCATGCTCGGTCGATGTGTACTGTATGGACTTGTCAAACCCCTTCAATGGTAAAACTACAGACGAACCTGTATTATTACATACTACGTTTTCAAAGCCTCGATTTTTTTTTCTCCTTGATTAATGTCATTTTCACCTCTATTAAGTGGTCACCTTTCGTAAACGGTTGTGGTCACCCTTAACTGAGTCCCAACGGCCTGTTTGTATTGACCTTCCGGCCCGTATTGAACGGTCATTTAAAATGGAACTACCTAAGTACAACTAAGAAATAATCTTTCAATTAAAACTTAATCCATGTTTATCTCCCAAAATGAACGTTAGTCTAATTTTTGTCAACCGTGGCATAAAATGGCATTTTTTTTTACCATTTTTCATAATACTCCTATTCTATGGAGCCTTTCGTAAGCGGTCAGCCTGTATTGAGCACCATTCCCCGTGAGTGACCGCTTAATACAGGTTCAACTGTATTAGCGTCAGGGACTAGATGGCATGTTTCCCGATTTATCGTTCGATACACTGGCATTTTAGGGACACAATGGGCAAGGATTAAAGGAGGTTTTTCTTTGCAGGCTGTACTTAAGATAATCCTCTTAATGTAACGAAGATTTTGATGTATGATGTATCCATGCTCAAATAAAAGGGCCAGCGAGTGATTCGTGCCCTTGTGTGAGAATTACGCTGTTTTAAGAAAGAAAAAACAACGCTCGGTCTGGTTTCAACACTGATTGTGAACTGGAATTTGTGTTTACCCAGAGAGAGAAAAAGCTTCCTGTTGATCTCAGTGAACTTAGTCAAGTAAAAACAAACTGTCAACCTCATTAACAACCCTGTTAAGGGACAGAGTCCATATGTCCGTTAAATAACTTAGATATTCTTATATCTCCAATTCAGCCGAGAACCTCTAGCTGATTTTCACGACGCAAAACATACAACTCGTTCGTTACATTTGGATCTCAGTAAAGGAAGATTACTGACTTGTGGCGGGGATAGGATTATTAAGGTCAGTTTGGCGTCTCCTTTTGAATGCCTTTGTTTGAACTCTCTACTCTTTCTCGATATCTCTGTACAAGCTCAGAACTGATTTTCGTTTCCAGGTACTTCAGGTTGTTTTGACGTGGAATATGTGTTTTCTTGCAGATTTGGGACATAAAAGCAATTCTCCTGTCATGAGCATCGACTAGATCTCTTTGAGAACTCTTTTCGGCAGTTTCAAGATGGTTGGATGTAATTAAACACAATTTTCTTTCGCCGTTCTAAGCATCCTGAGGCCTTGTGAAGGCAAACAGATGTAGCAACGGTGGACTCGTCATTTTGATCTTAAACAACTGGAATAAATCTTTAATTTGTTCCAAGTTTTATACAATCATTTAATTCTCGTCCGATTCGATGTCTTGTTACTTGATTTTACGATGTGTTTTGTCACCAGGCCGCTGTTCAATAATGTTACGTAACATACTTCGTAAGCTTGCATGAAAACTTGAGCAACGGATTTTTTGCAATGATTCCTGTGAACGATATCACACTAAAATCGTAGCGACGTCTTAAATGGACAGCAAACCCGTCGCCAAACTGCCTGCAGTTATTTTTGTCTAG